CCGCCCTCGTCGGTCTCGCAAAGAAAGCCAAGGCTGTGGTCAGAGGGTTCAGATTTCACGGTTTGGATTCATGACCATGATTCCAAAGGCTCGCGCTTCAGCTTCAATGCTAGGTCATGAAGGTTCGAGTTTTGTCATCAGTACAGTAGCTCATGTCCACTAGACATTTTAACAGCGCAAGTAAGTAATTTGCTGTCCGTCGTTCTCCGTAGTGATGTGATTGAACCGTTCACAAGAGTGCACCTAACCTGAAGCTTCTGATGCAAACCATGGGATGCGACATTCTACGCCAACATGTGGCGTACGCAGTACGTATACCTTCCATCCAGCACGTCAACCCTCCCCCTAAACCCTAAATAGATGAACCCTATACCTTAAATCCTAAACCCTATATAAACCCTGAACCCTAGGCCCTAAGCCCCATATGAACCCTATAAACCCTAAACCCTTCTAACACAGTACCCTAAATGGTAGGATCCTTATTATAAGGACCCCAGAATAAGGTACCCCTAATTTTCGGAAAGTTCCATTTAGTTGTTCCCCCGGGAGCCTAGAGCAGCCCCGTCTCGCGGCTGAAGCGGGGATCACAGAGGGAAGCCAAGGCCCTCAGAGACTCAGTTGAAGGATCGAAACCCTAAACCTAAACCTCTAAACCCCTGAACCCTAAACCCTAAACCCCTAAACCCTCAACCCTCAACCCGTCTGCAGCTGTCTTTGAGCATTGCTTCTCATTACTTCTCTGGTGTTTTGCCACAACTACAGCCGCGACGCAGCGACGCCTACTGCTAGTGCGGGCTAGCGCCGCTGGCAACACCCTGCCTACTGCTTGATGAAGAAGATCATGATGATGACGATGATGATGCTGCTGCTGATGATGATGATCATGATGTTGCTGCTGCTGCTGCTGCTAAAGAAGATGATGATGCTGAAGATGCTGATTCTGATGCGGATGTTGATGCTGATGCTGGTGAGGATGATGGTGATGATGATGATGATGATGAGCAAGCACCACTATCTTCGTATAGCTTTCGATTCAACATGTATTAACCTAAGCCATGATCACTGCTTTCCGACTCTCCGATTTGCAGGTCAAAGCCAATCGAATCAACCTGGAAGCCTTGGAAAGCCTCTTTTCATGAGGCGTTTCGCCATCTGTGAATGGGGCTGGTAGGTTTGGAATGGAAAGGGTCTGCGGTATCCTTCAACCCCTAACCCTCTTAAGCCCTAACCACCCCACACACTCCAAACCCCTAAGCCCTGTAAGCCCCAAAGGGTCTACGGAGAGGTCGCCTTTTACCCTTTCGCCAAGGTCTCTGTGCTTCGGTTTAGCGCCCAGAGCTTTTCATAGCTGGCTGCATATGATGCATCGCAGTAGACAGTAAAGAAAGGGCTGCCAGGGGATAGTATTGCTACTGTTGATAATGTAAATCCTGCATTACCGTAAGGGCCCGAAACTATTAATTATGGTATATTCCATATTATGGCTACTGCAGCTTTACATCATCAACAGCGGTTATTCGGACCGCCATGTTGCAAAGGCCCCAGTGTTACCGGCAGTGAAGGCTGCAAGTGGATGTAATCGGAAGTGGTATCGTTGCTGTTGTAGTGATCGTTGCGGTGCCAGTAGTAGTCGTCGATTCAGTGGAGTCGTCGATGTCGACTACTACCACGACGAAGGCTGCTAATTCTAGAATACTGCTACACTCATTCCTCATCGTCCTAGCGCAATCTGACACTACCATGAATACGATGTCGACGGTGACTACTACTGCTACGATTGCGATTAGTACTAGCACCGGTCGTTTCGGGCTTGTTTAGGCCCAAACCCACCACAACCCCAAAGCTGTAACAACTTGAAGCCTCGCCGCCCTCTGGCACCCAAATCCTATGTTCCACGCAGGGCTCCGCGATGCGCTGAGCCGAAGCATGTACAGTACTCCGCGCCTAAAATAGAGCTTTGGGCTGGCTTCTTGGAACTACTTAGGTTTAGGTTTAGGGTTCTTCGAACCCGGGTAACTTGAAGAGTCTTTATATATACATATATATATATATGACGGAGTTAGTTTCTGAGTCCCCATAGTAAGATCCAAGTCTCTTTCGCTTTGCGTTCACTGCTTGGGGCAAAAATTCTCCTGGGGGGTTTAGGGTTCAGTAGTTTCCCTAAACCCTAAACCTTAAACCCTGGGTTCAGTAGTTTAGGGTTTAGGGTGGGTTGGGGCTTCAGTATAAGGTGTGGCTTTGCTGCTAAAGGTTCAGGGTTTGGAGCTTCAGGTTCGCAGGATCTAGCGATAGTTCACTCGGGGTCTAAGGCTCGAGGTTTCCTCTAAGACCGGGAACGCAGAGACGCCAATACCTCTCAATTCAGGTTTAGGGTTTAGGGTTTAGGGTTTAGGGTTAGGGCTGCTTGTGCATGAAGCCTCAATGCCATAGCTCGGGAGCCGTCCTCAATTCGGGCATCAGAGGAACCTTCTGTAGGATCTCGGCTATAGCTCGGTGCAGTCCTTTTGGAGTTGACTATCTACAATCATTACTATAGATACGCAATGTGCAGTCTCCTCAACCCTCTAGCCCAAGACTTTATGAGTTTCAAGCTTCAAACTCAGGCCTTCAAACCCTAAGCCTACACTGAGCGGTTGTGGAGGTTTTGGAGTTTAAAGCTTACGGTTTGGGGTTTAGGCTAGAGGGTTCCGGGCTCAGGACTTAGGGTTTAGGGTTTCGGGCTTAGGGTTTAGGGTCTAGGACCGCGGGAGTTTGGAGTCTCTGAGAAGTAGCCCACCCATCGTTGGCTTCGCAGTCTGTACAGGTGCCTGGGACTTCTCAAACCGAGGGCTTCTCTTCGGATGCCAGCAGGGCCAGAGATTCCGTTTCGAACACCCTAAACCCTAAACCCTAAAGCCCTAAAGCCCTAAACTCACATCCCCTTATTATAGTCCCGACATCCATGCATGCAGACCTGTACACATAAAAATATTTTGTGATATCCTAACATACCCCGAGGCGTAGTCTAATTCTTGCCGCCCTCTCTCTCTGTCTCTGTGTGTGTGTGTGTGGGTGGGGGGGGTAACGTAAGGTTTGGGGTTTCTAACCCTTCAAATGGAATCTCCCAGAAGCCGCATATCCGTAAACTACGTATTTCCTAGGTTTCGGTACTAGCTTTGGGTCTTGAACGTCATGTGGGATTTGTTCGAAGGACAAACTAAGTGCTCTAGTAACGATACTGTATCATCCCAAGAGTTAAAACGGTGAACCTTTGGTTCCCTAGGGAACTGAACAAGCAAATATGCAAACCAGCCCTACCCCTGTGCAGTGAACCATGAGCCCGAAGCCCTATAGGGTTTGGGGTTTAGGGTTTAAGATTTAGGGTTTAGGGTTTAGGGTCTAGGCTTGGTGTGCCAGGATCAGGACACTGAAACAAACAGGTGAAACCATAAGCAAGCAAGCGTCCTGGGTTCGGCCAGCTGCCTTTTTCCGGCCCTCTTCTCGCCGGGGATGCGCCGAGCCGCGGAATGGAGCCAAACCGGGAGACATGTTGTCTCGGTTTATGCTTAAAGTTGAGGGAGGGAAGGTGGACTTGGGGTTTGAAGTACTTGAAGCTACAGGGCCATCAGTCGAGATCGCAGACTCAGACATGACTGGTACTTCGGTTCTGAGTGCTGACGGCCAGGGTGCTTTGTATAGGCATTCGGGATGCAATATAGGGGCCTTAATGACCTATACTGTTTTGGGGATTCCTTGTTTTCAATATTGTTTAATATACCCCTAACCCCTACTCTAATTATTAAGGCCCCTACAGCATAGGGTTATTGGGGCTTAGGGAGGTCGGGAGAACGAAAGGTGACTCGAGCAGGATGGCAGGTCGTGCTTCGTCTGCGGCCTGAGAGCCTAAAGTTGAACCCCTGCGACGCCCATGAAGGCCAGGCGCGAGGCAATGTAATATAGGCGTCGGAGCCTAAACCCTAAACTCTAAACACTATAAACCCTAAACCCTTATTATTATAGTCCCGTTTTAACTGCGTAAGTAGAACAGGCTTTACCCCAGAATCCTCTTCTACGTATTCAGGCCCCTTTTATCACAGAACCCCTATAGTAACCTTTTACAAAGAGCCCTAACATGAATTTCGCTCTAATTATGTAAGTCCCCATTTTAGGGCATCGATGTAGTTATGCTCTTTTCAGCGCTTTGCCTTTCTCGGCTTTGGTCGACATAGGGTTAGGGTCTAGAATGTCTAGGGTGCCATGGTCTCTTCGAAGCACATGATGCAACATCACCGAGCATATGTCAAGCGAATTGATTGGAGTCTGCGGGTCTTGCTAGCAGACAGTAATTCTAGAAAAGGAGAGACTAATGTCTATAGGAGCCTCAAATCCCAAACCCTTGGGTACTTCGCCCTTCTGTTGGCGTCCTCCCCGATCGATCATGGCGGAGATCTTCCTGGAGGCATCTGACCTTGGCGTAGCCCCTGTCGCGGCCTCAGCTTGCGAAGTGATCCGCGCACTCGCCGACTCATAGTAGGGCACAGTAGGGCCATGAAAAATCCAGAATAAGACTAAGCCTAACCTAAACACTGAACTCCTGAGCTGCCATACCAGACCAGGCTCTGCCTAAGGGGCCATACCCCACACCTCGCGTAGAGCCTAGTCTAGCTTTTATGGTTAGGACTTGTTCTATTGGAAACTAGGTATCCTAAACAAGGAGTAGGGTATGACGCCACAGGTGGGGTTTAGGGTATACGGGTTAGATACCCTAGCTCTTTATGGAACAGGAAAGTTGGTTAGCTCCACACGGGCACTTGAAGGATCACAGGAACTTAAATGTTTTGCAGTTGGGCCCTCCACTACCAGTTCAAATTACCCAGTTTGTGACCCCGCGTGCAGCCGACTTGCGAACTGCTCCGATCCTTGAAGCAGGCCGGTCCAACTTTTCATGGATTTTCATGGTTAGCTTCAGGAGGTGTCGTAAGTCAGTGTTGATTGTTGCATCTAAATCCAACGCTACCGCCATGTCTGTTTGCGTGACTGTGACTCTCATGAGTGGGAAATCCGTGCAGATTACCAGCAGCCCCGACTGCACGACGGATGAGCTCAGACTCCAGGCAGAGAAAGCGTTGCAATGCGGACCTGGCAGGCTCGTTGATGCTTCTGGGCAGGCACTTCCCGGAGAGACCTCGCTTGACCAATCCGGTGTCAAGACTGGTGACATCCTGATGTGGCACATTCGGCAGGTGTCCTTGGCTGCGAAAAACACGAGTGTCGCTGCTGTCCTCGGGGATGGATCTGTCGTTACTTGGGGCGATGCCGGTAGTGGAGGTGACAGCAGGTGCGTGAAAGAGCAGCTGCAGGATGTGCGGCAGATCCAGTCTACCGGAAAAGCGTTTGCTGCAACCCTTGGCGATGGATCTGTCGTGTCTTGGGGTGCTCCTACATATGGAGGCGACTGCAGCTTAGTAAAGGAGCAACTAAAGGACGTGCAACAGATACAAGCCACAGGGAGGGCTTTTGCTGCCATCCTTCTTGACGGATCTGTGGTGACATGGGGCTTTCCTTCCTGTGGTGGCGACAGCAGTTCCGTCAGAGAGCATTTGCAGAAAGTGCGACAGATCCAAGCCACAAGGCGTGCGTTTGCTGCTATCCTCGATGATGGATCCGTCGTAACATGGGGGACTTCCTCTTGCGGTGGCGACTGTGGCGCGATCCAGGAGAACCTGAAGGATGTACAGCACATCCAAGCCACAAGACGTGCGTTTGCTGCTGTGCTGCGTGATGGATCCGTCGTGACCTGGGGAGATGCTGTTTGCGGGGGCGACTGCCTGCTTGTCAGGGAGAAGCTTAAGGACGTGCAACAGACACAGGCCACATCGTTTGCATTTGCAGCCATCCTAGGTGATGGGTCTGTTGTGACTTGGGGAGATGCTGTTGCTGGTGGTGACAGCAGCTCTAGTCAGGATCTCTTGAAAAGCGTGCAGACAATCCAGGCTACAGCAGGGGCGTTTGCTGCGATCCTCAGCGATGGATCTGTCGTATCTTGGGGCCCTGCTGCATATGGGGGCGACTGCAGTGTTGTCAAGGACCAGTTGAAGCGGGTGCAACGGATCCAGGCCACCCAGAAATCTTTTGCTGCGATTCTCCTTGATGGATCCGTCGTGACTTGGGGCTCCG